TAAACAAAACAAAAAATTATTAGAAAACAAAAAAGAAACAAAAAATTTCAAAAGTCGAGGCGCGATGGAATTCTGAACATAAACCAAAACAAGCCCAAAATTCATGGGTACCTGCACTTTTCAAAAAGGTTTCAAATAACACGCAATACAGTATCGCCGTCTAAAACAGTATTAGACAGCGTCAGAGAATGAAGTGGTACGCACTTATTAAATTAAAATTATTAAAGTTTCTCAGGTTTAATTAAGGTTTTGTGGTGGTTCTGAGTTGGAATGGATTGCTGTGCCGAATAAGAAGTTTAATTAAGGTGAGTTTATTTTTATCTCACTGAGCAACTAGTTGGTTACTGTTTATTATTTTTATTGTGATATATTATATTTCTGAATCTCAGATAAATTTTAAGATATTTGATTGAATATAAAGAAAAGGTGATTAGCAGATGATGATATTGAAGTATTTCGTTATACTGATTTATTTATATTTGTCTATGTGACTTTAATAGAAGATAACAATATATATTTGAATTATGTTTAGCTTTATTACTTTCCGCAGTTACCCTGTGTAGCGTAATTAGTCTTGAGAAGTAGTTTGTTAGTGTTTGTTAGTTGAAGCGTAGCGTAGATAGCCTTGAAGAGTAGTTATCCCCGTAGCGTAGTTTGGCCTATTAACTTGTGCATTATATTTAGCGTGTGTGGCATATTCTTTGTGTGAGAACAGTCTTTGTGACTAGCCTGTGTGGCATATTCTCTGTGTGAGAACAGTCTTTGTGACTAGCATGTGTGGCATATTCTCTGTGTGAGAACAGTCTTGGTGACTAGCCTGTGTGGCATATTCTCTGTGTGAGAACAGTCTTTGTGACTAGCCTGTGTGGCATATTCTCTGTGTGAGAACAGTCTTTGTGACTAGCCTGTGTGGCATATTCTCTGTGTGAGTACAGTCTTTGTGACTAGCCTGTGTGGCATATTCTCTGTGTGAGAACAGTCTTTGTGACTAGCCTGTGTGGCATATTCTCTGCGTGAGAACAGTCTTTGTGACTAGCCTGTGTGGCATAATCTCTGTGTGAGAACAGTCTTTGTGACTAGCTTGTGTGGCATAATCTCTGTGTGAGAACAGTCTGTAGTAGTTTTACCCGTAGTAGTTGTCCCCGTAGCGTAGTTTGTCCTATTAACTTGTGCATTATATTTAGCCTGTGTGGCATATTCTCTGTGTGAGAACAGTCTCTGTGACTAGCTGCCTGTGTAACGTATTTTCTATGTGAGAAGTGTGTGTTGAGCCTTTGTGGCATATTATTATAGTTTTTAAACATGTATATTTTATGTTGGAATATTAAGAAACTATTCAAGTAGCTGTTTAATTTTAAATTCACCTCATTTTAATAATAACTGGTAACATTGTTGCTCACACCATTTTTCTCTTTAATTGCAGGTAGGTCATCTCGGTAGCCAGGTCATACAAGACTTTTGTTGCTATACAACATTTGTCCATTTGCAGAGCCCAGATCAAAGTTGGCTATTACCATTAGTAACGTACCATCTATTAGTATTATTTTTATTTTATATTATTAGTTGTATTTTTTATACAACATTTTCGCCCTTTAAATTTGTTTTATGGTTTTTATTTTTTAATTTTGAGTTGACCGCTTGACCGCGAAAAAAAAACTATTGGCCCTTACACTTCTGATGTTAGCTCTTTGTGTTGTTGATATAAATAATTCCTCTAAGATTATATTATTATTTGACTATTAACTTAATAAAATAACTAATTAATTGTGTACACCTGTGTTTTAAACAGAGGTGTAGTACAATTTTTATCAGTTAATTTGTGCAAAGTAATTGGAAACCCCAATTTCGATTTTTTAGTGGTTGTGTTTTTAGAATATATCATGTTTTTTTGTACATATTTTGGTTTACCAGTCGAATTAAATTGACGTTAACCTCTTAATTAATATTAGTTACAATCAAAACATTATAAATATTATAAATATTTTTTATTGCCAGATATTTTTTTGTGTCTGAACAATGCCTCATTTACTGACATCTTGTGACATTAGATAGAAGTGCAGTTTTTTTAGTTCTGGAATTTTTCCTGATTTGTAGACAGCTTTCATATATGTCTTATATCTTGGTAAAACTAAATCGAATAAAGATGAGACAAACGTAATTATGCCTACAATAAAAAGACTGTGGTATTATAAAAATTCTTTATTGGGAGACTATTTCAGTGTATCTGGGTGCAATACAAACACTTAAAGTAGTAGATTTATAAACAAAAAAAAAACACTTAGAGACAACATGAAAATTGCTTCAGAAATTACCAACTCTCTAAATATAATAAGAGAATTTTTGTGATACAATTCAACTAGTAATATAAACTTATATCTAAAGAGGTTATAACATCACCAATCACAGTTAACAAAATATGAGATTTAGAAAGAACTTAAAAATATACCAACAAGTATCCCACTACACATACTAACATACCTAACTTTACTTTAACTCTAATAATACTTTGAAGATTCTTAAGAGTAACAGTGGTTCTTTAATCCACCTAAAGTTCTAGTTTTAGAAATTAAAGATACAATATTTTTTATTTTAAGAAAAATTGGCAAGATAAAATGTTCTTATGTTTCTACAATCAATGAAAAGAAATTATGATTCGAAAATACATCAATGCTAATGAAAAGTAATAATAACTACGATATGAACACAGTTTTTAAAACCTTTTAAGCATTAATTAATGCTTGAAACAAGCGAAACATCTACAAACACGCCCTAAAAAACTGTAAAGATAAATCAACATAACACAAAAGAATAAAAAAAGGTTTACAAGCAGAAGCACAACTCCGATGTTTACTATCCGCCGATAAACTTTATCTGCTTTCAGTCGACCTCCAGCTTCCTGAAGTTGCCCGTCACGCCACAGAGGCCGTCTTTCTCCGAGCCACAGGACACCCCCTGACGCCTGAGGGCGGACACGGCGCCCTCTTTCTCCCTGCGGCTGAACAATTCCTCGTTTACGGCCATCTCGTCATGGGACATTAGAATGGGGTGCGATTTCTTCAGTTCTTCTTTCCACAGTTCTGGAATTAAACACGAAAAGAAACAAACATTAATTGCGGCCCATTGATAGGAAACTTTTCGTTCGGGAGATGCTGGGAAAGGTGAAAGACATATTTAAAAGGCAAGAAATGTAAGAAAAGTTTTACCTTCTTTCAGAATTTAACTGAAAACTGCTAATGATTGATTCGAATAAAGATACTTCTATTAAATTTGTTTAATGACTTGAATTTTGAATTCGATTTAAATGGATTGATAATAATTCTGAATAAAGGTCATTTTAGTAACTCATTTTTGGTATTTGAAATATAGGAAATTATACCTTGTTCTGTATAATTAAATATTTTTACCGATTTTAAGTTTTATTAAGCAATTTTTTTGTATTTTTACAAGTTTCTCATAAGGTTAAATTGGCAGAAAATGATAAATGTTACTAAATGCACCAACATAACCAGTATATCGCTCGATCACTGTCCTTTCTTGGGACATTAGAATGGAGTGAGATGTCCATCTGTTAAACTGGTCCACCATAATATATGTACTATAGCATGTACTATATCATGTTTGGCATAAGTACTTTATTATTCTAAATTTTTGAAACAACTTTTGATGTTAGCTCTTTGTGTTGTTGATATAAATAATTCCTCTAAGATTATATTATTATTTGACTATTAACTTAATAAAATAACTAATTAATTGTGTACACCTGTGTTTTAAAACAGAGGTGTAGTACAATTTTTGTCAGTTAATTTGTGCAAAGTAATTAGAAAACCCAATTTCGATTTTTTAGTGGTTGTGTTTTTAGAATATATTATGTTTTTTTGTACATATTTTGGTTTACCAGTCGAATTATTAATAAATTGACGTTAATCTCTTAATTGATATTAGTTACAATCAAAACACTATAAATATTATATAGTAAATGCCACGAATGTTTGGGAGTGATTCATCGGTCGCTACCATGTGAACTAATCTGTTCAAGGTCACATAAAACTTAATTCCAGTGCCATGGTGTTTCAAGTCATATAATAATCAATATATAATCTGTTGTAATTTGTTGTTTTAACTGTCAAAGTCTTGTCAAAACATATATTTGGTTATAAATATAAAATGAAATGCCCCATTGGTCGCACTGCAAGCATACCAATGGTCTGACGCACAAAAACGAATCAATCAAAGAAACGCGATATAGTATCGTCTTTGTCAATCGCGCTAACATTTTAGAATAAGTAGAAGGAGCGCAGGCAGATGATTAGACCGGGCTTTAAAAACCTACGTCTGCGGTAAAAATTTACGTTTTTAATGTAAAAATGATAGCGCGCGTGTCGATTCAAACTTCATCAAGCGATGAATCACTCCCAAACATTCGTGGCGTTTACTCTAAATATTCTTTACTGTCAGATATTTTTTATGTATCTGAACATTTCCTCATTTACTGACATCTTGTCATCTAGTCATTAGATAGGAGTGTAGTTTTTTTAGTTCTGGAATTGTTCCTGATTTATAGAAAGCTTTCATATATGTTTTATATTGTTGCGGACCCGTACCGTGTGAACTCGGCCTTAGGCTTGGTCGGCCACTCGGCTATGACTCATACGCCGGCGACGTCGACCTTCTAGAACGGCTAAGAATTGACTAGACAAATCTGGATTGTCTGTTTCTCTCCTATATAAGTAGGCGCATGAAGCCTGAAGTTACAAGCGCCGCGCTAATTCAAAATAAATTCCTGTTAGATAAATAGTTAGATAAATTGTAAATAAGTTCTTTATTTTTTTTTAATCGCTATTGTTTGTTAATAATTAGTGTTAAATAAATCGTGTTTAAATAAATTTTGACATTCTATCCACACGGAACCGACGAAAAACGTAACACTATCTTGGTAAAACTAAATTGAATAAAGATGAGACAATACGTACCTAATTGTGCCTACAATAAAAACACTGTGGTATTATAAAAAATCTTTATTGGAAGACTATTTCAATGTAATGGGTGCAATACAAACACTTAAACTATTAGATTTATAAACAAAAGAAACACTTAATAACTACATGAAAATTGTCTCAGAAATTACTAAATCTCTAAATTTGTAAGATAATTTTTGTGATACAATTCAACAAATAATCTTATATATAAGATAAACTTATATCTAAAATGGTTATAACATCACCAATCACAGTTAACAAAATAATAGATTTAGAAAGAACTTAAAAATATACCAACAACTATCCCACTACACATACTAGCATACATAATGTTACTTTAACTCTAATAATACTTTGAAAATTCTTAAGAGTAACAGTGGGTTTTAAATGCACCTAAAATTCCAGCTTTAGAAATTATAGATTCAAAATTTTTCATTTTAAGAAAAATTGGCAAGATAAAATGTCTCTATATTCAATAAAAAAAATAGCATAGCTTATGATACGAAAATACATCAATGCTCATGATAATTCATAATAACTACGATATGAACACACTTTTTAAAACCTTTTAAGCATTAATTGGTGCTTGAAACAAGTGAAACATCTACAAACACGCCCTAAAACCTGTAAAGATAAATCAACATAACAGAAAAGAATAAAAAAAGGTTTACAAGCTAAAGCACAACTCCGATGTTTACTCTTCCCCGATAAACTTTATCTGCTTTCAGTCGACCTCCAGCTTCCTGAAGTTGCCCGTCACGCCACAGAGGCCGTCTTTCTCCGAGCCACAGGACACCCCCTGACGCCTGAGGGCGGACACGGCGCCCTCTTTCTCCCTGCGGCTGAACAATTCCTCGTTTACGGCCATCTCGTCGTGGGACATTAGAATGGGGTGCGATTTCTTCAGTTCTTCTTTCCACAGTTCTGGAATTAAACAAGAAAAGAAACAGACATTAATTGCGGCCCATTGATAGCAAAGTTCCTTGCGAAAGATGGTAAAAGAAGAGGAAGAAGCAACATATTTAAAAGGTAAGGAAGTTAAATTCGTCAGGGTTTAACTAAAATTTCAAATGAATGTATTATGGTGTTATAAACGATTTAATGCCTAAGGTTATGAAAATTTGATTTATAAAAATTGATAAATATGGACAAAGGTTAGTAGCTTAATAGTTTCTCTCTCCTTTTTCAAATGAAGTACTTTCCATTTCATTAACTGTATGTTCTGTTAAACAGTTATTATAGTAATGAAGGGCTTTACAATAATTAGAGTGGCCGATACTTCTACTAAATTTCTTTCCATTCAAGCTTTGGCTATAGCTAAGTTTGTTGCCAAATTTGTCGAGAATGGAGAAATTATGGATAAATATAAAGTACAGAATCTTAGATTAATTGTACCGAAAAAGTTAATTAGACATTAGACAATTAACATTTAACAGTTACAAAAATACTCAACAAAAGACACTAAGAAAGTTGCAAATAATTAGACATGCAGAAGAATGTGAAGTAAGAAGGCACAGTTTTATAGATTCAAATTATTAAAATTATCTATTTTTATTCTTTATTAACTAAAAGACATAGATTATTGTAAAGAACCTCTGTTAATATTGGATACTTTTTTCAGCCCTTTTTTACCTTATTTTGTTATAGCGGGTGCGTCTCAATAATATATATAACTTTTTTATTTTTTCAAATAAGAAAAAGATTTGGAATGTTAGTATATGACATAAATTAGGATTGATTGTCTTATTCAATTATTTTTGGTCACTTCCTGTTTCACCGGAAATGACCAAAAATGATTTTTAATTGGTATATTTCTACTTTATTCAATAGAAAATGACACTCTGCATAGAATGACATATCATATGTCAACTTTTGAGATTTTCGCATATAGTTTATTTGAAATTGTAACATGAGGTTCATAACAACAATTTGACTCGAAATACCAAGTGTGTGGTACCAAATTATTCCTAAAAAATGCTTTTTCCAAATATGCTAATGAGCCACCCTAGTTCTATTTGAAAAAATGAAGTAGCATTAAAAATACGATTAGGGCATCTTTTAATTGGCAAGGATAAGACTCGAATAACATTAGACGATCAAAACTATTTTTCCAAGGCTCCTTGATTAAAAATTAGTGTTTTTAACACAGCTTTGGCACTCCAGATTGAAATTTAAAATAAGAGTTTTTTAAGCGAAAATGTCAAAAGTTGACACATGATATGTGCTGCATATGCTATTCAGAGTGGCATTTTCTATCGAATAAAGTAGATATATACTGAGGGTGCCATTTAAAAATCAAAAGTTGTAGTCATTTTCGGTGAAACAAGAAACGACCAAAAACATTTGAATACGTCAAACAATCTTAATTTATGTCATATAACATACCAACTCTCGTTTTTTTTATATGAAAAAATAAAAAAGTTATATAGGGGGGAGATACATTCGAGAAGCACCCGGTATATTAACTTTATAACGTACCATTTTATTAATATTAAAATCGCAATCGCAGGTTACAGTCACATCGATTTATAAATCACAATCGCAGTTTTAACTGCGATTGGAAAGTAGCAGTTTTGCTCATCTCTAGCATTAGGTCATGATAAGCCATTTTATTTTTATTTTTTTTGGACTTTATAAAAACGATACGACTGGAGAATGTAGTCCAGTAATCAGAAGACCACAATGGGTCTGAGAAGGTCGCAGATCAATAGGTCAAAAAAGCCACTTCATAAAAGTTAGTAAAATCTACAGATATGTTTGAGATTGCGCAAGCTATGATGCCTTTCGTAAATCATAACGTCATAATTATTACCTTCTTTTTAGTTTTTTTTTACATTTAGACAAAATATCCCAGTCTTGCGAGATTATTATGGTAATATTTCGGAAAATCATCACAATCTACTGGAAATTTCAGAGAAACTTTATTTTTTAACAGCAGTTTTAGAACAAAGTTAAAATTAGCTGATATAAAAACTCTAAGTACCATCATTTAAGGAAAATAGCGTTTCAGTTTCGTCTTTATGATTGGGAAAAAACTTCAATTTTCTTACACTCGGAGAATAAAATATTTCAACTAAACTAATGTATGAATTTATACCGTATTTAATAGATAATATATTTTTGTTTATTATTTAATGGTAAACATTGTCAATTCTGATATAGATTCGGAAAACCAATTTTACAATATTACTATAATCTACAGGGTGGTCCGAACTGTATTCGGAAACTTCGGCAGCATATTCTGCAAATAAAAATAAGTAAAAAAGTTCGTATAAATATATGTCGCAAAGTGCTTAGTTTCGGAGATGCAGAGTGTAAAAGTTTCGTTTTTATTTTTTTTCCAAATAATTTCTGAAGTAAAGTCAATATTTGGATGAAAATTGGTGTCTGAGCGTTTTTCGACATGAGAAATTTGATTTTATGTCAATATAACTCCTATTTGTAGGGAGCGCCACCTACATGTGTTTTAACTGTTTTGAACGGTAGTAACTTTGCATCCGTACCTGTATAAAACTACCTACTGAGTAAAAAAATGCATTTCCGTGATTTTCTGCGTAAAAAATGTAGGTAAAAATCGCTACGAGCAACCGTCATCAAGCTATTTAGAATGGAAATAGTCAAAACGTGTCAATATTGACAAAAATAAACATGTTGAATAGATATATTTATTTGACTGAAATGATAAATTTGGGAACTTTTTATTTTTTAAAATTGATCATAATTTTTTTCGAAAAAATGATGATAAAACAGTTTCGCTTGAACTTTTGGTACAAAAATATTTCAAATTTATGATTTCAGTCTAATAACTATTTAGTCAACATATTTAATTTAATTTATGTCAATGATGACAGAGGGTATTGATAATTTCGATGCCAAATATCTCGAGAATTATTACTCGTAACGATTTTTACCAAGAGACCTTTTTTACGTAAAAAACGTCGTAAATATATATTTTTTTACTCAGTAGTTTTATACAGATACGGGCAAAAATATATTACTTTTCAAACTAGTTAAAAAATATGTAGGTGGTGCCCTCTACAAGTAGCAATCATATTGACATCAAAATCAAATTTCTCATGTCAAAAAACTCCCAGACACCAATTATTATCCAAATATCGACGCTACTTCAGAAAATATTTAGGAAAAATCGAAATAAAAATGAAACTTCTACACCCTGTACCTCCGAAACTAAGCCCCCCCCCCCATTTTGGACACACAAACTTTTTCACTTATTTTTATCTGCAAAATACGCTGCCGAAGTTTCCGGAATACACTTCGGACCACCCTGTATAAGATTTAGATAAAAAAATCTGGAAAATCTAAAACTTTGACCTAATAACTCTCAATGTAAAGCTCCTTTTATCCGTCATTGCGGATCTAAATAACTCCCGTTCCTTTTTTTACTACCCTCTTTTATAAATCCTTAATTCCCGTCTCCGACTCCGCTCCTAAAAGCATTTCTCTCCGTCTTTTTTACGATGTTTAATTCACATTCTTCTTTTTAATCCGCCATATTAATATTGACTTAGACGTTTCCCCCTCCCTCCCAGAGCCGAATCTCACCTCGCGTTGAAACTTTTATGTCGGGCGACATGACGAGAATAAATGATAAATTATTCGATAATGTCTCGGAGAGATATCGTCTGTAAAATTATTACGATTTAGAGGGTGGGAGAGATATTTTCAGAGGGACGATATCAGGGATGACATCCCGTATCCTGTTTTTGTTGTTAAACAAAAGATATAATTTCCTTTGCTTAAAAAAGACTCAAGTCTCAGCAAATTTTATTAGACACTAATAAAAATTCTATAGTACCGGGTGTCCAATATTTAGTGGATATAGAACTAAGTACAGTACTGGGTGACCAACTAAGAATGGACGCCGGCTGTATCTCAGAAACTATTTATCGTATAACTTTGGAAAAACAATTCTAATGAGCAAATCGACCAAGCGAAATCTCTGGAAATTATTTTCAAGTTCGAAAAATGTCCACTAGGGGGCGTTTCCCTGATAGCCAATCAGAAAACATTTTTTTCTCAAAAATATGCAGGTGAACTGGTATTTTAAATATTACTATTGTAACCATCGAGAAATTTGTAATTTTTTTCATATAGAGTATTTTGCTCTATCTCATAAAATAAACTGGTGGGGGAAGGTTAAACTTGTTTTTATTAAAATAAGGATAACTCTGTGTGTGGGTTGGGTTACTCGATTTAAACAAACTATGGCTCGTTTAAAAGAGCTTTTCTTGCTTAATGATCTTCAGTACAAATTTTGTTTCCATAATTTTTTTCGTGGTAGCTAGAGGGCGCTGTTTGACATCATAACAGATATTGCGCTTTTGCATAAAAACTTAAAATACGAGGCTATATTTCTCTTTGCACAGTTAAATAGAGCACAAATTTCCAAAATATTAGCGCAAACTGCAACTTTCTATCTTCCCTCTAACGGGAGATATTAAGAAAATAAATCATATTAGGCTGTCGCCTAGGATTATATGGTCTAAAAGTTATAGTAGTAGGCTAGGAAACAAAAAGAGGTAAATTGGTTACGTCAAAATATGAAAACATATATTTTAATTTCATTTTAATACCATTTAATTGTTATTTATCCATGTTCGTTCTTAATTCGACCCCATAAATTAAAACCCAGGCATATTGAATCCGATGACCTGGCTGGCCATGGAAATATGCCGCTCCAGCATGTCTACTAAAGTAAGTGATATCCAAGAAGCCCCACATATTCATAGCAAAATAAGCGGCACAACTGCACTAAGTGCATCATCTACACCAACTGCATTCATGCTGATGAAATTGCAACAAATGCAATTTCATCATGATGGATCACCTAACAAAATTGGCAATTCATCTCTTAGAAATTATGGATAGTTAATTTCATTCGGATAATTCAAAAAGTCCAATCA